GGGGGCCGCGGCGTTCCCGCGCCAGCCATGCGCTCGGCCCCGCTGCTCGCGCTGCTGCTCCTGATGGGGCCGCAGTTGCGGGCTTCAGGGGTCGCGGGGCCGCCGCTGCCCTCCGTGGTGCTGGCCGTCCTGGCTCGCAATGCCGAGCACTCCCTGCCCCACTACCTGGGCGCCCTGGAGCGGCTGGACTACCCCCGGGCCAGGCTGGCCCTTTGGTGAGCAACCCGGGTGTGGGCCCCCCTGGGCGTGCAGCCCCCAGCCTCGTGCGGCCCCACGCTCCTCTGCGACGCGGCCCGACGGGGCCTCTGCTGCCCCACGCCCAGGGCAGACGTCTGAAGCCACAGATAGACGCGGGGACCCCCCTCCCGCCCCTCCTTCCGGCCTCCCCTGCTCACTGGCCCCACACCTTCTTGCCCCAGCCTTCGTCCCAGACGGAGCCCGGGGGACCTGCGGTGGCTGGACGGGCAGCAGAGCAGACTGGACGCCCTGGGGTCCCGTGGGGCCGCTGCGCGACAGGGACTCCAGACTGCAAGCTCCTGGGGAGCAGTGGGGGCGTCTGGGGACTGTCCCCGCGCTGAGCTGGTGCCACGTCCTCCCCGTCTTGACCGTGGCGTCCCCCCGGGGCCCTGGCATCGCAGGCCACAACCCCAGTCTGGAAAGCCAAACGGGGAGGGGCCGGCCGAGGCTGGGGGGAACGGAGATGACAGGCTGTCCTCGCCAGCAGCAAAGCCGCGGGCGGAGCCGGGCCGGGGAGGCGCCCGCGATCCCCAGTGTGGGCGCGAGTGAGCTCCCACCCAGGAGGCCTGACACGTACTTAGTCTTCAGTTCTGGGCAAGTGGCTTAAAGGGACCAATCCCGAGCCCTGGGCGAAGGCCAAGGCTTGGCTGAGCCCCACCGCGAAATGGGCCCCTCCGCCGGGCTGGGAGGCTGTGGCCGCTGAGCTGGGCCCATTCGCACTCTCAGGCTCGGGGTACGGTTCGTCCTGATACAGTCTGGGGTGGAGGAAGGCAGCAGCGCCTCTGTCCAGTCCTTGTTCAGAGAGGGGACGGGCCTGGCTTGGGGTCACACAGCAAGGAAGGAAAGTAAGCAGCAGATGTGCCGGGCATTGAAACGCGCCCTCTAATCTGGGCTGTGACAGGCAGGGCAGCTGACATTAGGGCAGAGGGGCGGCCCTTGGCCCAGGGTGAAGATGATGAGGTGCCATGGGGTCCGGGCCGCCGTGGGTTCAGTGCTGTGGCTGAGGCCCCTCAGCCTTTCTCCTCCCGTGTTCCCAGGTGTGCCACGGACCACAACGCAGACAACACCACAGCGATGCTGCGGGAGTGGCTGGCGGCTGTGGGCCACCACTACGCAGCTGTGATGTGGAGGCCTGAGGGGGAGCCCAGGTGTGACTGAGGGGAGGGCAGAGGACAGCTGGCACCCAGAGGGGACGCGGGGCCACCAGAGCCACGCCCTCCAGGGCAGGAGATGGGATGCGCCTGCCCAACACATCTCACTTCTTTCCCCGCTCAGGTCCTACCCGGAGGAGGAGGGTCCCAAGCACTGGACCAGAGAAAGGCACCAGTTTCTGATGGAGTTGAAGCAGGAAGCCCTGACCTTTGCCAGGGACTGGGGAGCTGACTATATCCTGGTAAGGAAGCCTGGTTTAAGATTGGGCTTCTGAGCCAGGCATGCTGGCACGGGCCTGTAATCTCAGGCTGAGATGTAGGAGGAGATGTAGGAGGCTGAGGCAGGAGGATCACCGCAAGTTCAAGGCCAGCCAGGGCTACATCTCGAGATCCTGATAGAAATCTTGGTGGAGGGCCAGATCATATTCGAGTGTGGCTAGCGACATTTGAGCTCCAACTCAAATGACTAGGTGCTAGGCTAGGTACTAGCTCCCTGAGACAGGCCTAGGCTACATTCTGGGCCTGAATTCCTGGGGTGTGCCCAGAGTTTACACTGAGCCGAGCCCTCTGGCCGGGCACTCGCAGGTCTTTGCATCTGCTCCCTTAGCCGGCTCTCAGAGAAGGTCTTAGATCAGCTGCTCAAGTCCGGTCTCCAGGCCCCACCCTAAGCCAGTGCTCCGGCCACGTTCTGGGCGATGAGCGGCTCTGCCGGGTGTGGCGGTTGGAGCGCAAGGGAACTCCTGCTCTGGGCCCTTGGCGGCTGGAAGACCCCGCCCAGCCACCTCCTTGGGGGCTGCAGCCCAACAGGGCCAAGGCCTGTGACGTCCCCTCCCCCCAGTTTGCAGACACCGACAACATTCTGACCAACAACCAAACGCTGCGGTTTCTGACGGAGCAGGGGCTGCCGGTGGTGGCGCCCATGCTGGACTCGCAGACCTACTACTCCAACTTCTGGTGTGGGATCACCCCCCAGGTGAGCGGGACGGATGGTCGGAGTCCGGGCTCCCCGGAGGAGCCGCTGCACAGCCGGGAACCTGCAGGCCTTGGGGTCTGTGGCAGGGGAGGCCTGCAGCCCACAGTGTTCCCTGTCCCCAGGGTTACTACCGCCGCACAGCCGACTACTTCCCCACCAAGAACCGCCAGCGCCGGGGCTGCTTCCGGGTCCCCATGGTCCACTCCACCTTCCTGGTGTCGCTGAGGGCAGAGGAGACAGCCCAGCTCGCCTTCTACCCCCCTCACCCCAACTACACGTGGCCTTTTGATGACATCATTGTTTTCGCCTATGCCTGTGAGGCTGCTGGTGAGGACCCGTGCCCCCTGTGCATCTCTCAAGGCCTCAGGGCCTTTGCACGTACTGTTCCCCTTCTTGCTCTGCGTTCTGTCCTGTTAGTTGCTGCTTGTCCTTTGGGGCATAGCCTTTCCTGAACCCCTGCCCTAGCAGGTTCAGTGCCCTCATGCACTCTTTCACTAAGTAAGCATTTGTAGACCGGCTGCTCTGGCCATCCCTGCCCTCTCAGCCTCCATTTCAGTCCCAGCTGTGCCAGGAAGGAGAACTCCTTGATTCTAGGTGCTCTGGAAGCTTAGCCTAGAGTCAGCTGGGCCAGGGAAAGCTACTGAAGGTGAGCAGTTGGTCCCAGAACTGAAGTACGGACAGATGATGGACAAGAGCAGGAAAGAGCTTCCAGGGAGAGGGACCAGTGGATGTACCAGGCGCCAGAAGAGGGCAGGTGACTCCCAGTGTAGTAGCACATTCCTGTAATCCCAGAACTCAGGAGGCTGAGGCAGGAGGATTGCTGCAATTCTGAAGCCAACCTACGTGCATAGCAAGACTTGTCTCTATAAAACCAGAGAAAGATGGGGCGGGCAGCAGGGGCAGTGAGTGAGGGGGCACAGTGCCAGTTTACCTTATTTTTTGGTGGTGCTGATGAACCCACCAGGGCCTCCAGCATGGTGGGCAAGCGCTGTATCACTGAGCTACCACCCAAGCCTTTTTATTTCTTTATTCAGGAGCGTGCTAAGCACACACTCTACCCGTGAGACACACCAACCACCGTTGTTTTCAGATGAAAGTTACTACAAAGCATTTCGTTGTGGATGACATAAATCTAGTCCTTAGGAAGAGTGGAAGGTGAGAGAGATAGAGATATGAATGTTGGGGTGCCATTCTTCTTTCTCTATTTTTTCTTTTGAGACAGGGTTTTGCTACATAGTTCAAGCTGGTCTTCAATACACTGTGTAGCCCAGGCTGGCCTCAAACTCCCAGCAATCCTCCTGCCTCAGCCTTCTGAGTGCTGGGATTACAGGCATGTGCTACCACACCCAGCTGTACTGTGCTATTTTTGAGAAAGCTGCAGAGGTCATAATTCAACATGGACCTAGACTTGGCCAAAGCAGTGAAGCCTGTGTGATGGGCGGAGAACAGCTCAGCTCATATTCAGAATGAGGAAGAACCCTGAAGTCTTGCACCCAAGCAAGCATCGAGTCCTGAGGGGCCAGGGAGGAGGGTGTGTGATCCTTTGTTCTGTGCTGCAGGTGCTGGGGAACTCTGCAGTGTGGATGAGCAAGAGGGAGAGTTAGCTTGGCAAGGCTGGGGTGAGCTCTGTTCCTTCCTGTCAGCCCGTGTTCATGGGTGCTGGTTTGAAGAATGCAGTGAACCACGTTTTTTTTTTTTTTTTTTTTTTTGGTCTTTTTGAGACAGGATCTCACTATGCAGTTTAGGCTGGTCTTGAGCTCACTTTGTACCCCAGGCTGGTCTTGAACTTGCAACGATCCTCCCGCCTTAGCCTCCCGAGTGCTGGGATTACAGGCCAGTGCCACCACGCCTAGTTTAACCACGGTTTTGTGTCCATCATTCAGGCTTCCAACATACGGCTGCTGTGCACCAGCCCGGGGCCGGGCTGTGCGCTCAAGGCTGGACATGGGACTGGCTTTCAAATACATCATGCATTCTGGGTGTGGTGGCACAGGCCTATAATCCCAGCACCCTGGGAGACTGAGGCAGGAGGATCCCAAATTCCAGACCAACCTGGGCAGTTTAGTGACTTAGCTTCAAGTTCAAGGCCAGCCTGGGCTAGCCGGACATGGTAGCACACACCTCTAATCCCAGCACTCAGGAGGCTGAGACAGGAGGATCATTGCAAGTTTGAGACCAGCCTGGGCTACAAAGTGAGCTCAAGGCCAGCCTGAACTGCAGAGCAAGATCCTGTCTAAAAAAAAAAAGAAAAAAAAAGGGGGGGCCAGCCTGGGCTATATAGTGAGACCTGTCTCAAAACAAGACAAAACAAAATGTAAATAAAAGTTTAAAAAAATAAAAAGGAGGGCTGGGGATGCAGCTCAGCGGCACAGCACCAGCCTGGCAAGCATAAGGACCTGAGTTAGATTCTTGGTACCAAATAAATAAATAAATAAATAAATCAGACTAAGGCTGTAGCTCAGTACAAAGGTCTTGGGTTCAGTCTCCAGTAGTGCCAAAAAGAAAAAGAAAAAAAGAAATACATCATACAGGCTGCAGGGGAGCTCGGTGGCAGAACACTTGCCCAGTGTGTGGGACACTCCTAGGAACCCCCAGCACCACAAAAAAATGAAAGGAAAGGACAGCACACACCTGCCCCTGAGGATGGTTCCAGCACAGGTGCCAGATCCTAGAGAGGAGGTCACCATGGCTGGTAGGTGGCAGATGGTGTGGAAGGTACATCGGGGATGCAGGGGACGCGTAGTGTGGACAAAAGCTGATTGTCCCCGGATCAGGGCTGTACAGCGGGAACGCGGAGAGATGGGCACTTGGGTGCTGGAGCCACAGTGCTCACTGGTGTCCGTGGCCTTTCCTCGCCGCCATCCACCACGCACGGCATGGCCCCAGCCGGGCAGCAGCTCCGCAGCCATCCTTGTGGGCACCAGGTCCTTTGTCCCTGCAGCCCAGAGGTGGGGCCCGCATCCCGGAGGAGACTCGGGTTGGGGTACAGCAGCACCGGCCCGGAAGCTCTCGGCCAGACCCTCCGAGCCCTGCCCGCTGGCTCTCACTCGGCCTTTCCCTGCAGGGGTCTCCGTCTACGTGTGCAACGAGCACCGGTTCGGGTACATGAACGTGGCCGTGAGTCCCCACGGGGGGCTGGAGGACGAGAAGGCCAACTTCCTTCACCTGATCTTGCAGTCACTCGGTGAGGCCAGGAGCCTGCTCCGCGCACCTGCTGGGTGCTCCCTGCTGTCCCTCAGTGCTTTTCCTCCCTCCTTCCCTCCCTTCCTCCATTCTATTCTCCCTCCCTCCCTCTCTCTCTCTCTCTCTTCCTTCCTTCCTTCCTTTTTTTTTTTTTTTTTTTTTTTTTTTTGAGGGTCTCACTATGTAGTTCAGGCTGGCCTTGAACTCACTATGTAGCTCAGGCTGACCTCAGATTTGAGACAATCCTCCTGCCTCAGCCTCCTGAGTGCTGAAATGACAAGTGTGTGCCACCGCGCCCAGCTGGTGTGCCTTTCCTGGGCGCCAGCATTCTGCTGAGGGGGCAGGAATTGGGGCTGGGGGGCTGGCACTCAGGATGGGGCGCCTCCCTTTGCAGTGGACGGGCCCCCCATGCAGGCCTCCGCTCACGTGTCTCGCCCCCCGAAGAGGCCCAGCAAGATGGGGTTTGATGAGGTGAGTGCCCCAGTCTGGGGACTGGGCCGGGGTGGATGGGCGCCCCCCTGCCCTCCCCGCCCCTGCAGCCAGCCTCTGCCCCCCAGGTGTTTGTCATCAGCCTGGCCCGCAGGCCCAGCCGCCGCCAGCGCATGCTGAGCTCGCTCTGGGAGATGGAGATCTTGGGGCGTGTGGTGGATGCCGTGGACGGCCGGTGAGGCTTCCTAGGATGTAGCTGTGGGGTGCTGTGGTCCCTCCTTGAGCTCCCAGAGTGGGCAGAGCAGAGGGGGTGAGTGAGGTTCCTGATTCAGGAATCATCCAAATAAAGCCTGAGTGAGCTGGGTGGGATAAGCCCAGTACCCAAGAGGCTGAGGCAGGAGGATTGCTGTAAGTTCAGAGTGATAAGTGAGTTCAAAGCCAGCCTGAACTACATAAAGTGAGGCCCTGTCTCAAAATAAACAAACAAAAAACCCCAAACAGAGCCTGAGGTGTGCTTTTTTGGGGAGTTCTGGGCAGACAGACGCAGGACAAGACACCCCCCTCCCTCATTCCACCGGAGGGAGATGGAACCAGGGATCCAGGGGTGTCACTTGCCAGCTGTGTGACCCCAGGCACGGTGGCCCCATTGTGGAAACACTAATAGCCCTTAGTCGCCCCATGACTCAGCAAAGGGTTGGCCAGCCAGGTCCTGACACCCGGGAAGTCTCCTGAGAGCTAGGTGTCCCCTGTCTTCCCTGCCTCCACCCTGGACGTAGGTCCCTGATGGGGCTGGGGTTCCGCCGGCTCTGTTCCCCCGGGGCCCCGGGCCAGGCTGCTCTAGCCTCCAGGGGCTCATGGCCCCTGTGTCTGCCACTGTCTGCATTACACCCCAGGCCCCCCTTTTTTTCCTTCCTGGGGATTGAACCCAGGGCCTTCTCCTTGAGCTACACTCCCCAGCCCTTTTTTATTTATTTTAAGACAAGGTCTTGCTAAGTTGTTGTTAAGTTGCCCAAGCTGGGCTGGAACTTGCAATCCTCCTGCCTCAGCCTTCCAGAGTTCTGGGATCACAAATGTGCACCATCAGTGCCAGCTTCCCAGTGCTTTTTTTGTTTTTTGTTTTTTTTGAGACTATGCAGTTTAGGCTGGCCTTGAACTCACTTTGTAGCCCAGGCTGGTCTTGAACTCACAGCAGTCCTCCTGCCTCAGCCTCCCAAATGCTGGGATTACAGGTGTACGCCACCATACTTGGCTTCCCAAGCTCTTTTGATTTCAAGATGTCCATCTTGTGCTTGGGACTCTGCCCAAGAAGCCCCCAGCATGTCACCCACATCCATCCTGGGGCCCCTCCGTTAGCCCTGTACCCTACTCCCTGCTCCCTGGGGCTTCTGAGGTAGCTGTGGTTCCCCAGGCCCTGTCGCTGACAGCGTCTGGCCACAGGAAGCAGCCACAGAGCTGAAGCCTGCAAGCTAAGCTCGGGTGCGACTGTCTCCACGCATGCAGGTCAGGCCGCCTGGAGGGGCCGCTGGCCAGCACCTGTCCCCATGGTCCCCGTGTCCCACAGGCTGCTCAACAGCAGTGTCCTCAGGAGGCTGGGCGTGGACCTGCTCCCCGGCTACCAGGACCCCTACTCGGGCCGCACGCTGACCAAGGGCGAGGTGGGCTGCTTCCTCAGCCACTACTCCATCTGGGAAGAGGTGAGGGGGCCCTTCGGGGAGCAGAGGCCCAGCGGCCCAGGCCCAGGCAGCGGGTGTTCAGGAGCAGACGCAGGGAGGCCTGGAGCCTGGCATGTGTGTGCTTCGCACTTGGGGGCCTCTGCCAGGCCTGGGGGCTGGGGGCCGGGGAAGGAGGGAGCAGGGCCCTCAGAGTGCACGGAGCTGAATTCCTGTGTGTGCACACACATGCCCACTTGCGCACGTTACTGCCGTGAAACCTAGGGCCTCACACATACTAGGCAAGTGCTCTACCAGTGAGCTATCACCCCAGCTATAACCTCTTACATTTTTGAGATAGAGTCTCCCTAAATTGCCCAGACTAGCCTCGATCTCATAATCCTCCTGTCTCAGCCTCCCAAATAGTTGGAATTATAGGCAAGAGTGCTGCCTTACCTACCTTTACTCCTTGCCTTTATGTTCTCATCTTTATTTTTATTGTATATGTTCTTTTCATATCTGCAAAGTTACTGCTAGGCATGGTGGCACACACCTGTAATCTCAGTTTTCAGGAGGCTGAGGCAGGATTGCCATGAGTTTGAGGCCAACATGGGCGACATAGAAAGACCCTATCTCAAAACAAACAGTATTACAAAAAAAATACAAAAAGTATTTTTCCTTGTGATATGGGGGGCTGGAGTCTCTCTTCTTCCCACCAGCCTAACTTTAAGAGGCTCAGGAGACCTAAGTGACTGATCGTGGAAATCAGCAATAAGGTTGAAAGGCCAGGCGTGGTGGTGCACGCCTGTAATCCCAGCACTTGGGAGGCCGAGGCAGGAGGATTGCCACAAGTTCCAGGCCAGCCTGAACTACACAGCAAGCCCCTGTCTTTAAAAAAAAAGGTTGAAATCTCAGCCCCACCACTTCCTGCCATGTGCCGTGGATGAGCCACTGTCTGGCCCCCATGTCACGGTTCCTGTCCCTGGTGTCCCTGGAGATGAGCCACGGCCTCTGGCATCCAGTTGGCCTCAGTGAATGGTGCAGGATGGTGGCGGCCACCATGATTCTCTCTGGAGAGCCGCGGTGGGGCCTGGTGGGCCTTGGTGCTGAGCAGGGGCTGAGACTTTAGTCACTGGCACCCCGAGGGCTGCGGAGCAGCTGCGTGGCGTGGCCAGGGCCGAGCACCAGGAGCGTGGTCGCTGAGGCAAGCAGTGGGCAGGGGAGAAGGGGAGAGCACGGATCTGCAGGGCCCTCGCTCACCCTCCTTTGGACCACAGGTGGTTGCCAGGGGCCTGGCCCAGGTGCTGGTGTTTGAAGACGACGTCCGCTTTGAGAGGAACTTCCGGGGCCGGCTGGAGCGGCTCATGGAGGACGTGGCGGTGCAGAAGCTGCAGTGGGACCTGATGTAGGCCGTCTGCAGCCCAGGGCAAGGGAGGGGCGGAGAGGTGCAGGACCTGCAGTGACCAGGGCCCTCCGTGTCACTTGCAGCTACCTCGGCCGGAAGCAGGTGAGCCCGGAGGAGGAGGAGGCCGTGGAGGGGCTGCCGGGCCTGGTGGTGGCCGGATACTCCTACTGGACGCTGGCCTACGCCCTGAGCCTGGCGGGTGCCCGCAAGCTGCTGGCCTCTCAGCCCCTGCACCGCATGGTGCCTGTGGACGAGTTCCTGCCCATCATGTTCGACCAGCACCCCAAGTGAGCCTGGGGGCAGGTGGGCAGGTGGGCAGGTCCCCTGAGAAAATCAGACTTGGCAAAGAGAGGAGGCTGTGCTGCCTGCGTGGCTTTTATTTTTATATATTTTTTTGGAGGGAGCTTTGTTTTGAGATAGGATCTCAATGTGTAGCCCAGGCTGGCCTCAAACTTGTGGCGATCTTCCTGTCTCAGCCTCCCGAATGCTGAGATTACAGGTGTGCGCCGCCATACCTGGCTGCATGGTCTTTAATCCGATAATTTCTCGTTCTGAGCCTCAGTTGTCAGGGCTGCTGCGAGAAGCCTGGGGTCCCTCGGGAAGACCTGCTGGCGTGGGATCTGGGCGGAGGGGTCACCTGCACTGTCCCTCCCCACCCACACAGTGAGCAGTACAAAGCGCACTTCTGGCCGCGGGACTTGAAGGCCTTTTCCGCCCAGCCTCTGCTCGCCGCCCCCACCCACTATGCGGGGGACGCCGAGTGGCTCAGTGACACGGAAACATCTTCTCCTTGGGACGACGACAGTGGCCGCCTCATCAGCTGGACTGGCTCTCAAAAAACCCTGCGCGACCCCCGCCTGGACCTGGCAGGAAGCAGCAGGCACAGCCTCCATCCGCACCCCAGGGACGAGCTCTAGGTGCAGCTGGCAGGGACAGGGGACGGGAGCAGCCCTGCTGGCCTGGGTCTCCCTTCTGCCCTTGGCTGGGGCGGGTCTGCTTCTCTCCTGTCCTTGGCCGCCGCACTGTTGGTCCGATTGCGTCCAGCCCTCTTTCTCTCATCCCGTCCAGTGTCTGCTTCAGCGGGTCCCCTCGCTGGGCACCCGGGCATCCTGCCTCTCAGGATCCCTGTCCCACCAGGCCAGATGATGGCTTCGGAGGAGGAGACCGACAGCTGGCAGGAGCAGAAAGCCGGCAGAGGACTGGCTGTCACCTTAGGCTGGGCCCTCTTAGGTCGGGAGAAACCACTCAGAGCTGGACTGTGGTCCTTCTGAAGGTCACACAGCCAAAAGGCAGGCTCAGAGCCCGGCCGGAGGGCCAGAGGTGGCCCCTCAGCCTTCCTGCGAGCTGGGCAGACCCCAGGCCCTGTCCTCCCTCAGGACAGAGCGGCTGGGGCCCTGCCTGCCTCTACCTCCACCTCGCCCCTCCCCTACTCCACGACTGGGTCTTGCCGGGACCTCTTCCCCGCCAGGGGGAAGTGCAGGGGGGGATAGACCTAGCAGGCTGAGGGTAGCACACAGTAGGCCCTCAATAAAAGCCTGCTGCATTTGCACTTTATACTTTGTCACCGCTGGCTCAGCCTCTCTGCATCTCAACTGGCCCGGGCTGGCCTTGCCCGCCGAGGGATGGCGCTTGGCTTGGGGGGAGGTCAGAACCACCCGGCCCCTGGTTGCTCAGTGGTCCTGGGTGGGGGCGTTAATTGCCCCGCGCCTTCCCCTTCCCTTTGGTAGAGTGAGAGTGGGAAGAGAAGCCGGGGGTGGGGGTGGTGAATGCTCCTAGTCCAGCACTGGGAAGGCTGAGGCAGGGCTACGTAGTGAGTTCAAGGCCAGCCTGAACTACCTACCCAGACCCTGTCCAAAAAGAGTGGAAAGTAGGTCACAGGCTGGGGGGGCAGCAAGGACTCACCTGGGGGCACTGACGTGGCCATCGATGTCACTGCCGGCCTCACCTTGCTGGTCAGAGTGGGCACCGACCAGACCCAGGGCTGCTGATTGCACCTGCCCTTCGCCCCTCGCCCTCGCCCTCGCCCCTCTGCCCCTCCGCCCCTCCGGCTGCATTTAGCAGCTGGAACTTGAGTTTATAGGAGGAAGCCTTGGGGCGGACACAGGATTTCCCTCGTGGCCCTGATCAGTGGCGCCACCAGAGGGCGCCAGGCAGCAGAGCCTGGACCTGGTGAGGCAGGCACCCTTTGGTGCGGCCTGCGGCGCAAGGGGAGCCTGGGGGGTTGGCGACCTGTGGCTCGGCCACCCTGGTAGTCACAGCGGAGGCTGCTCTCTGGGCCCTGTGGTATTCTCTTTGCCGCCCGCGTCGGGCCAGCATCCGGGCCCGGCACCTGACTCAGATGGCTTCTCTCAGACAGCTGTGGTGGCGCAGGACCTTGGAAGGTGTCCTGAGAATCTAACAGGCCGCACCCTGGGGGTAAGGTCTGGAACCCAGTATCACTGTAAGAAGTACCTTGGGCCAGAACTGTGGGCTTGGTGCTTTGTTCCAAGAATTGAAGCCATCAACCCCATGTGGTGGCGCACATCTGTAATTCCAACACCCGTGAGGCTGAGGCAGGAGGATCTTGAGTTCAAGGCCAGCCTGGGCTACATAGGGAGATTCTGCCTGAAAAAAAAGCCGGGCACGGAGGTGCATACGTGTATTCCCAGCCTGTGAACCGAGCTTTCTTCAACTCAAGGCAGAGGCCAGGAGGTGCAGGTGACAAGCTCAAAGGGCCTGCATGTGACACTCAGGTGGGGATGCAGAGGAGCAGCCGGGTACAAACATCTGGGGTGTGGGGGACCAGCTCCAGCTGGAGATGGGAGCTTGAACCCCTCGGTGCTGGTCCTGAGTTCCTGGCCCCAACCGCACATTCCCTGTGGGGCCCCTGGGGACTCTGTTAAAGTGCAGCTTCCTGCCTCTGCCAACCCTCCAGAGGCTAGGTCCGGCCAGGTGTGAGTAAACACAGCCACCCCAGCTTTGGGAACCCAAAGAGCTGGCCACCTGAGGCTCACCCCTCACAGGCCAGTGTAGCAAAAAAGTGTAATTTTTTTTTTTTTTTTTGAGTCAGGGTCTTGTACAATTCAGGCTGCCCTTAAACTCACTACATAAGCCGGGCGTGGTGGCACGCACCTGTAATCCCAGCACTTGGGAGGCTGACGCAGGAGGATCGTTGTGAGTTTGAGACCAGCCTGGGCGACAAAGTGAGCTCAAGACCAGCCTGAACTGCATAGGGAGATCCTGTCTCAAAAAAACCAAAACAATAAACTCACAACATAGCCCAGGCTGGCCTCAAACGTGGGGCAATCCTCCTGCCTCAGCCTTTTAAGTGCTGGGATGATAGGCATGCACCACCACACCCAGTGTATAAAGCATAAGAAGCCACAGAAGCCCACAGTGGTGGCACACACCTGTCATCCCTGCACTCAGGAGGCTGAGGCAGGAAGATTGCCAGAAGTTTGAAGCCAGCCTGGGCTCCCTAGTGTGTTCAGGGGCAGCCTGGACTACAGAGCAAGATCCTGTCGCAACAAACAGACAAAATTTACATGCAGTAAGATTTACCTTCAGTCTGATGGGTGAGCAGTCGTGTCACCACCACTCCAGTAAAGACCTGGGACTGACATCGTCCTCTGCCCAGGAAGGACCCCTGTCGTCACTTTGCAGTCAGCTCCTTCTCCCAACCCCCAGGAGCCACAGATTCAATCCCTGTCCCCAAAGCATCACAGGGTTGGCGCCACATGGCACGTGACCTTTCAGGTCTGTCTGCTTTCACCCACTGTGGTGCTTTTGTGGCCCTCGGCGCAGTCAGGGTCTCATTCCTTCTCACGGCTGAGCCCCTCAGAGGGCGCGACCCCAGCGTATTTATGGATCGCGGTTGCATATTTGAGTTGTTCCCAGGTATGAATAAACTCCCATGAATATTTGGGCACAGGCCTTTGTGTGGATCTAAGTTTTCATTTTCAGTGGGCATGTGGTGCACACCTGCAGTCCCAGCACTTGGGAGGCTGAGGCAGGAGGAGCACTGACTCTGAGGCCACCCTCACCTGTACTGAATCCAAGGCCGGCCTGGACTACTACCAGGACATGTCTTGAAAAACCCAAAACCAAGCCAAAACAAAACAAAACAAAACAAAGAAAAACAGGCCAGCTCCTCTTTGGAGCGTGGATTCCTTCTCCCCAGGGCAGGGATTCAGCAGTTGCATCGGGCCCTGGAGGAATTGTTCCTGAATGGAAACCAGTAATCAGACTCTTGGGCAAATACAGAGGCTGGAGCCTGAGCCCCGAGGACTGTGGCCCGTCCGGGACTGCGGCACCCTATGAAGACAGTGGTGTGGGCTGGGGCTGGTGCTCCTCCTTCATCTGTGGTTCTTTTTTTTTTTTTTTGAGACAGGGTCTCCCTGTGCAGTTCAGGCTGGCCTTGAGCTCACTCTGTAGCCCAGGCTGGTCTCAAACTTGCAACAGTCCTCCTGCCTCAGCCTCCTGAGTGCTGGGATGACAGGTGTGCGCCACTACGCCCAGCTCCACTTGTGGTTATTTCTTTTTTTGTTTTTCATCTGTGGTTCTTTCTAAGCAACAAGACAAACCCAAGTTCCTTTACAAAAACAAGTAGGAAGATAAAATCACTGTTTTATTTGAGACAAGGTCTCACTCTGTAGCCCAGGCTGGCCTCAAATTTACGGCGATTGTCCTGCCTCAGCCTGATGAGCGCTGGGATTACAGGCACCCGCCACCACTGTTGGCTATAAAGTCACGGTTGTTGACATTGTGAGATGGTGGGCCTGCGGGTGTAGCTCAGCGTAGACACTTACCTGGCGTGTTTGAGGCCTGGCAGCATCCATCCCCAGCACCACAGAGGCCTGTAGAGCACACCTGTGACCTTCCACCCAAAACTCATTGGGCCTGCTTCTCTTCCCCATCCCATGCCCAAACACAGCAAACAGAGGTAGGAAGGAACGGGCTGAGACAGCCAATCAGAAAAGTGCTATTTTCAATCTTCCAGTTGAATTTGGTGCTGTATACAGGACCAGTCAGATGATGCTCTCTACAATTCTTCATTTGCATGTGGGCACAACCAGTCAAAAGACCCTGTTCCCCGTCCTTTACAGATGGCAGGAAGCCATTGGTGCCTTTTTTTTTTTTTTTTTTTTTAAGGTAGGTCTTGCTATTTAGTCCAGGCTGGCCTTAAACTCAAAGCTATCCTTCTGCCTCAGCCTCCTGAGCGGTGGGATCACAGGCACGTGCCACCATATGCAGTCACTGATGCTTTTGATAAGACAGTTTATACATGATGTAAGGCTAAGTGAGTGTTTCACTATGCCAGTGCCTTGTTTGCATGAGAGGGAGATGTCCTGGGATTGTGTGTGTGTGTGTGTGTGAGAGAGAGAGAGAGACAGAGACAGAGACAGAGACAGAGAGAGAGAGAGAGAGAGAGACAGGATCTAACTAGGTAGCCAAGACTGCCCTTGAATTCCTGAACATCCTACTGCAGCCTCCCGAGTGCTGGGACTGCACGTCTGGACCACCACCCTTGGCTACCTTTCTCATTCCTTGAGTCTCTCACACACTTGGGCCAGGCAGGGTCTTGATTTTCCAAGGGGATCTCAGGGAGGAACATCGAGCATAGAGGGGGTGTCTTTTTACAATAATCTGCACATCTTGATTACTTCCCCCAGAATGAGCTCAACACTGTGAAATTTCCAGGTCAGGAGAGGTGTTGGCCTCTAAGAGTTGTGAAGGTTACATCAAGACAAAGGCGGCTTCCCAAAGGTCCCATCAAGTTTCAACCTACAACAATGTGGAGACTGCTTGCTACTTCCCAGGGTCTAGAACCAGGCTGCCATTGCCCTTAGGATAAAGTGGCGAGGGCCTAGGGGGAGATTCAAGTGTAGAATGTGTGTTTCAAGTGCCCGAGGCTCGGGATTTGATTAACAGCACCAGTAAAAGAAGAAGAAGAAAAAAGTGGCCAGTGACATAGGTCAAAAATGATTTCTTGGCCCAGTGTGGTGGCACACAGCTGTAATCCTAGCGCTCAAGAGGCTGAAGCAGGAGAATAGCTGTTTGAGGCCAGCCTGGGCTACCTAGTAAGGCCCACCTGGACTACATAGTGAGACACTGGCTTAAAGTAACAAAATACACAATGTCTACAAACTGGGCTGGTGCTTTTCTTCTAATACTTCTACCCTCGCCCCTGGTGGCGCATGCCTATAATTCCAGCACTTGAGAGGCTGAGGCAGGGTGATCACTGTGAGTTCCAGGCCAGCCTGGACTACAAAGTGAGCCCAAGGCCAGCCTGAACTATATAGCGAAACCCTGTCTCAAAAAGAAAAAAAAAAAGAAGGACTAATATTTCTACCCTCAAGGAAACAGCACTATGAATTGGGTGCCATATCTTTAAACTTCAAATAATAGCTGTCTTTGGTTATTTTCTCCTTGCTGAGACAAAATACCTGACATCCACAAGTTAAAGGAGGGGGTTTATTTCAGCTCACAGTGTGTGGAGGTTTCAGTCCATAGTCAGCTGGCTCCAAGGCAGGCAGCATGGCAGGGAGCATGGCAGAAACAGTCTGTGAGAGAGCAGGAAGGGAGCCGCAAACAACAGCAAGCCTCCACATCCCTTCCGTCCCATGCAGGGTCTGAGTTTACTGACGGCCACACACACCAGCATGGGCCTTCCCACTCACTGTGCTAAACCAATCAGTGGACTAATTTAGTACTGTGCACCCTTAACCAAAGTATCAGACACCCTTAATATCCCAGTATCATGGAGCCGGGCGGGGTGGCGCACGCCTGTAACCCCAGCACTCAGGGGGCTGAGGCAGGAGGATCATTGTGAGTTCGAGGCCAGCCTGGGCTACAAAGTGAGCTCAAGGCCAGCCTGAACTGCATAGCGAGACCCTGTCTCAAAAAGACCAAAAAAAAGGAAAAAAAAATCCCATTATCTGGGAAAAGCTCTACCTATGAGTGCTTGAGGCTTTAGGCAGACTTGTGATTTGCCTGTGGAGACAAGTGTGCACCACCATGCCCCACTAAATGATTTGCATTTTTGGGTTTTGTTTCTTGTTTTTTTGAGACAGGGTCTTGCTGTGTAGTTTAGGCTGGCCTTGAGCTCGGCAACACTTCTCCAGCCTTGGTACCGGGAATCGAACTAATGACCTCAGGCTTACCAGGCAAAACCTAAGCCACTGAGCTATATCCCCTGGGGTATGCTGGGTTTGGAAGAAAAAAATAAGGTGACTGTATGGAACATGGATACGGATAACCTTGGGTAACGTTATGTCTTGAAGTTGGTGTCTTCTTAAGAGTACAATTTAGGGGCTGGGGATTTAGCTCAGCGGCACAGCACCTGCCTGGGAAGCGCGAGGTTGTGAGTTCGATTCCAGGACCGAAAAAAACAAAAAAAAAGTACAATTTAATGGTCGGGGGCTGGGGATATAGATCAGTGGCATAAGCGCCTGCCTGGCAAGTGCAAGGTTGTGAGTTTGATCCCCGGTACTGCCAAAAAAAAAAAAAGACAAAAAGAGTACAATTTAAAAATTAGGATCTCTTCCTCTCTGTCCTGTACCAGGGAGTGAATCCAGGGTTTTCATACTGAGTTACATCCCCAGCTTTTAAATTTTTTTTTTTTTTTTTTTTGTAACAGGGTGTCGCCAACTCATTAAATTGCCAGGCTAGGTTTGACTCTTGCCTCAACTTCCCCGAATGCTGGGAGCGGCATGCGCCTAGTCAGTCTCCTTCCTATATCTCTCTTTTACCTCTGAACCCATCAATCATTCCACATGGAAAACCACGAACGAGTCAAAGGAGTGGAACAGGGAAAATCAAATACGGTATGGCAGTCTGTGAAAGCGAAGGCGGAGAGGCGAGTTCTGTTTAGGGGAGGCGGGAGCTGGAATTTAAGGGTTCACAGTCGTGTGATCCTGGAGGGTCATGGCTGCGATCAGGGGAGGTAAAGATGTCTAGGAACCAATCCAGGGCGGCCTCGTGAGCCGCGGGTTACCCCCCCACGATTGGCTGACAGCGCCGCATTGTGAGAAGATGGCGGCTCAGCGAGAAGCTCGGCCCAGTAGGTCTGTACAGAGCGCCGCCGCCGTGCGCAGGAGGGCGGGAGGGCAAGAGGAGCGCCCCCTCCTCCTGCGTGGGCCGCGACCCGGGCGCCGTGGGAGGGGGTGGTCTGGACCAGGCCCAGGGTTGGTTTTCCACAGGCATTGCTCAGGCCTGGCCACTAACTTGTTCAGTGGACCTGGTTTTCTAGTTGATTATCGAAGGCAGCGCTTTGGGGCTTCCAGGCGCCTCTGGAGTTCTGGGAACCAGGAGGGTGAGAGACAGGGAGAGGTATCTTTCACAGATGATCTTCTGCTATAGCACACTTTAGAAAAACGTGTGCCTGTCTTAAGAATTGTTTTTTTTCGAGACAGGGTCTCACTATGCAGTTCAGGCTGGCCTTGAGCTCACTTTGTAGCCTGGGCAGGTCTCGAACTCACGATGTTCCTCCTGCCTCAGCCTACTGAGTGTTGGGATTACAGGCGTGCGCCAGCATACCTGGCGAGGAATTGTGTAATGAATACGTTCTTTCAACACTACACACAATAAATCCACCTTGCCATCCCTTTAAGTGTTGTGCCAATGGTAGCTGAGTTTGTTTCTTTATTAATTTACTTTTGTTTTTTTGAGACAAGGATTCACTATGTGGTTCAGGCGGGCCTGACTTCACTATGTAGCTGGGACTTGCCTTGACCTCACAGTTATCCTGCCTCACCTTCCCCAGTGCCGCCATTGTGGGCGTGCGACACCAAGCTAAGTCTGGGTTTCTTAACTAGATATTTAGCATTCAGAGTAATTTGTGAGTTTGTTTCTATTTATAAAATGAATACTTGGGAAATGTTAGTGTTTTAAACATTTTACTGTTTTTATTTCTATAACTTCCGTAATGATCAGTCAAGAGGATATCACTTTCTCTTTCTCCTGACAGTTTTTTCACTTCTGCAGAACTATATTGTTTCTATGTACAACTTTTGTGTGTGTGTGTGTACAACTTTTTTTTTGTCTTCTTGAGACAGGGTCTCACTGTGCAGTCTAGGCTGGTCTTGAACTCACTTTGTAGCCCAGGCTGGCCTCGAACTCACAACGAACCTCCTGCCTCAGCCTCCCGAGTGTTGAGATGACAGGCGTGCGCCACCACTCCCCGCTTACAACTTTTTAAGTATAGAAATAAAGTGACATTTAAAAAAAAATGGCGGAAAGGGAAGCGGGTCCTTGAATCGCCTAGCAAGACCCAGCAGGCCCGCTGGAGGCGTCGCCCGTCTCCTAGGCGACGATACGCGCGACCCGGAAGTGGGCGGGACGCCAGGAGGGGCGGGGCGTCTCTGTGACGCTAAGGCCGGGGCCTAATGGCGAAACCCGAGGGGCTCTGGGGGGGGGTTTGAACTGGCCAATGGGCGAGCTGCCGACCGGGTGTCGGAAAAGGAGGCGGAAGCGGGGAGGAGCGGCCGCCAGAGCCGGACTGCATCCGCCGCGGCGTCTCCATGGCACGACCCTGGCCACCGATTTCAACGACTTCATAAGGAGGCGGTTCTGGGCGCAGCCGTGTCGCTCCTGGTGAGGCCGCCACGCGCGTCCCTGCCGCGAGGCCGCCGCGCTCCCGGCCCGGGCCCCGCC